AAAAAAACACACTGTTTCTGGAGCAGTAGCTGCAGGTTGTTGTGAATGCAGATCAGTTTGCATAGCAGCATCATGCAGATGCGGATTTACGTGAGAATGCCCATGGCCCTGAGCGTGTGAGTGTCCGTGATGACTATGGCCATGCGAATGCAGAGCATCTTAAAAGAGTTACATTTCAGCTGCCTATAATCATCATTTTTTATCGTGTAATTTCGTGATAGAGATGAAAGAAATGTTGGCGGGCACGACGCAGTAGCAATCAGCGCTGCTCTCATGCCAAAGATTAAAAATGCAACACTCCCAGTGAAATAATCAACACCATCACGGCTCGCTTATAAGTTCTGATGGTAAACTAGTAGTAACATCAGTGAGAAAACCAAACTTTACAATTCGTTCATTCGTTTCGACGGTAAATTAGTGCAGGCATACGCCATAAAGCCAAATCCGCCATCAACTCATTTCTGCGTCACTCTTGTCAGCAAATGCCTTTTGCGACATGTGTTACCACTCGGACTACTGGATTCTTCAATTTTGTTCAAGTCACCCAAGTATCCAAATACTGTTTAATCCACGCAGTACGACATGTAACTGTACGCGGAATCTTGGGCAGTGCAAATACCACAACTTAATTACCAAGGTAAAAAGCGAATGTGAGAACGAGGGATGCAACTTTGACTCTCTCTCTCTCCCACTTCTCTTGTTCCTGCCCTTTTCCCTCCCCCAATTTTAATTTATCCAAGGCGTAGTTCCGCTACTCCACGTTCAAACAATCTTGGCAAATGCTTTTTAAACAATGTACCACCTGATCCACGCGTATTTTTTTCTCAACACAGATACAACAAACGAACCCCCTGAAGCATCTGGGAAATATCCCAAAGCAGCATAATCGATTGGCTCCGGTAATGGTATCTGTTTTTCCTCGGCAAGACGCTTCACATTCACTTCATAATCCTTCACCAGCTCGGGTAGGGCGGCTTTTACACCTGTAAAACAATAAGGACTAAAAGAGAAAATCTACTGCTTCTATCAATGAAGAGCAAGATGTTTGATAGAAGGTTGCTAGAAATAACCAACGATAAGCTCCAGTAAAGCTCGAGCGGAGGGCGGGGAGGAGGCGAGAGGAAGTAGGGAGCGAGCGGAGGGGGGTGGGGAAGAAAGAAGTGAATGACTTTACAAATGTTTTACAGGGGGAGAAGAACGGGACTGGTCATGTGGCAAAGATGGCAGACAACAGATGAACAAAACGAATCGTTGAATGACACCCATAATGTTTTAAAAGAACAGCAGGAAAGGAGTGGTGTGGATGCGAAAAGCACAAAACTATGATTGATGGAAATAGCTGAGGATCCGAACAATGAGCTGTATCTG